AGAGAGGTCACACCAAAGATTTAAATAGATATGCCCTTACCATACCATTCGAGAAATACAAATAAAGCTAATGGTATAACATTTCTTTCGTAAGTTTTTAGTAAATCTGTTGAAAAAAAATAGTGTTGGAAAATATGGACAATATAGATAATATATTGATAGTATATATATATATTGACATATTATAGTAACAACAAGTCGTCATCATCTTCCTCTTCTAACAAAAGACACATTAGTAAATTATCGGTAGCGTTGTCCGCCATTCTGTCTAGCACGAAGGTATTGGAGTGGCTGAGGCATGGTTATATGCATTGTGCAGCCGCGGCATGTCGGCGCGCTCGGAATAGAAGCTGCCGCCACCACAGGCAGCACTGCGGTCAGCCGCAAGCGCTAGCCGCAGTGTCGCTTGCGGTTGCAGTCTGCAGCCCATTGCGGAAGTGTACCTTAAGATGTTCGTTGTAGTCGCAATTGAATGAATGATCAAGCCGATTGCTATAGACTGTCTTATATGAGTTGTTACAACGAAGGTGCTGTGGGTTTCTAAGGCAAGTAGTTTTTTTTTTCTCTCTATATTGTTTTTCTTAGCCACGGCAACACGTGCCAGGGTAAAGTAAAGTAATTTATTATAAGTCTAATGTTACAACGCAATAATGTCGAAATCGAAACTAGTGCAACTTTTCGCACGCCTATAAGTAATTCCATGTTACCAAACTCTTTGTTACTCATTGTTTGACTCGAATTTTATGGAGATTTTTTTAGAGTTCACTAACACAAAAGGTTCCCTTCATATTGCTGTATTCAATATGAATGACTTCAAATATACATATAACAAACATTACATTTTATATATTTAACAACATAACATTTTAATTGAAGCGTTGGTATCTCCACTACTTTATGGCGGGTACTACCAGTGCGGCGCCTTCCCATGAATAATTAATTATTTAATAAATAGTCCAGCAAAATTACCGTTCAAAAGTTTGGGCTAGTTTGCGTCAAATCGGGTAGTTCTGATTTTTTTGCTCGTGGTAACTAATTCATAATGTTGGCCCAATGTTTAAAATCTAAGTTTGTGACCTGGAAAACCGAACACAACTATGTCAAAAATTGATAAAACTGCGAAATTTCATTTTTTTTTAGATTTTAGCGATTATTAAGTTCTGGTTAATGATAGAACCTTCCCCACACTTTTTAAAGAGGACTACATTTTTTTTATAATATGAGACTGGAATTGTGTCTATAGACGCAATAGTTTCCGAACCAAAGCCGTTCAAAGCTTTAGTCAGTAAATGTATACATTAGAGCTTGCGTCAAATCCGACAGTTCTGAATTTTTGCAGACTTTTTTATGATGTTGACCGTATTGCCCCAATAAGAGTGTGTGCCGAACACAAATATGTCTAATAACAAAAAACCTAAACTTTGACTTTTTTCAGATTATTACAATAAAAACCCTTAAAAAGTTGTTTTCGATAATACCCTTTGAAATCATTTTTCAAGTAGAGTAGTTTTTGCGGATTTCTCGTTTTTTGTCAAAGTTCAAAGCGCTCGAGGTCAACTTAGATTATTCATTGGGCCATCATCAAAAATTAATCTAAAAAATCAGAACTACCGGATTTGAAACGCATACTATGAAAGTACCTATTAATTTTTCTAGAGTAAAAGAAAAGAAAGTCAGAGAGTGACTTTGGAATCTTATCACTAGGGTTGCATATTGTCCTTTCATCCGTCTGTACTGTAAACCGACTGAATATCGTAATGGATTTTCTGAAATTTTCATGATGTATTTCGACCGGCGCTTCAAATATTAAAATAAAAAATTGGTAGTCACGTGATTTATTCCATGTTTTTTTGCTCGTCCTAAAGTAATCTTGTACTTACAATCGCATTGATCCCTTGGCCGGGTTTTTTACGATCCAGATTATTACTCAATTACTTACTTAACACGCGTATTTAATATTCACGTTTTACATCTTGGAACGGACGAGTGATTTCAATTCTACAGTCACGCAACTACTTATAATACTTAAATAAAATCTTTGTCTTTGGCAAAATTTTACCAATTTTACCACCTTTCTCATCCCTCTACATTTCACCAGTTTATACATAGAAACATAACAAATAGACACGCAGGGCAATAATCATATTTTTAACATAAGATGGATAGACGCACAGATGCTGTTGGATTTCGTATTTTGCGGGTTTTTAATAATTTCATTATAGGGTAGTTTATGCACTTGCAATTGCCTTAATCCAATCTGTCTCCCATCCTTTTCATACATGTACACTTTTAGCTATGGCCGTCCTGCTTTCGACGACACCGCGGAGTGCATAGGACATTATACTTTTTCCACCTCTCTCTTGTGAACGTTGTAATGGAAGACACACATGTTGTGATATAGTATCCAAAAATTACTGTGCGATCATACTATTAGTGAACATTTTACATTGTGCAATTTATATAAATACAAAATCTGTGCCGGCAAACGATTTATTTTCGATATAAGTGCTTGAAGGATGACTTGCGACCAAACGGATGGTGTGCTGAGGTAAGTGCGCATGTTCCTTTCCTTTGTCTCCAAGTCTTCAACCATTTTCTTCGTCCTTAAATAGATAAGGCATTTGCAAGGCGCAGTTTATTTTGTATTTTTAATAATATATGATTGTGTATTACCGCCCCCCAGATACAGTCCACTATTAACCTACGCCTAGGGTTAGCCTCTCCATATAAGTATTGAGCACGCAAAATTATTATTTTCCCGCAACCCAAGTTATGGGGGTTTAGGCGCCTCCAGATGCCATAAATAATAAATTGTCTCTAACTAACAAAAGTCTCAGCATTCATTTCATTTCAGCAGCGATTTTCTGTAAAACTACAACTTCTATCGAAGAAAATTTCAATGATAAAATTATAGGGCATTTAAAGATTTCAATAACTATGCAAATAAAAATAAGATTTTGAAACTCTTAATAACGTTTCATCTAAATTCTTGTATTAATAAGATAGGTACATCAAGGAGAGACTTATTGTGTATTTATTTTCTTCAAATTTTGGATTTTTTTAGTAAATACATATGTATTAAAATATGATTAAATCGAGCAGATTTTACAAGAAACATTGTTCATTTGTTGTAATCTTTTTCAAGGGTGTGGTGTCCCAAATAGTTGAAGAGGCTTCCTGCAAACTGCAACATGCGAATTGGTTAAAGTAATTCTTTGCCTTCGAACAATGGCTCGTTCTATATTTATGTTAGGTAAAGTTATGGCACGATGCCACTTCGTCGTTAGACCGATACGAGTGCCAATGAAATTCGGGTAAACGACTAAGTGTAAATGAACGGAGTCGAGTACGCTCGTGTCCTTATTCCAGTGTAAATATTGCTTCGGATGTCCGAATTCGAATAATGTCTTTCGTGCACCCGAATACGAGCTTACGACCAAATGTAATTGAGCCATTAGGCGCCTTCCTCACTGGATCGGTGTGGGCTCGTTTCGGTACTTTACCGAGTACCACTTCGACTGGCTCGGTTGCGGTGCGGTATCGTTTCGTTTTGTTTGCTACGGCACAGTTTACTGACTTCGCTTTTGCTTGTGGGATTGACGGGACGGACGGGACGGGCGGGTTGAATGGTTCGGTAGCATTCGTAAAGAATCTGTACAGATTCGGTACTGAAGCGAAAACGAAACGAGTCCGACCCGGTGAGAAAAGCGCCTTAGTTTGTCGTACTTACTTTACTGTGGAGCATTCGGAATGCACAAAGGGCTATTTTCAAAATACTTATAACCAATAAAGTAGGTCCTTCCTCTACGAAAAAAATGTGCGCTTATTTAGTTATATCTATTTAGAAATGTTTTCACAGAAAGTCTAGAATTTCGAGGCTCTAGAGCAACTTTGGTCGGCAAACAAATTATTGCAACAGAAATAAAATCAGAGACTGCTTTTACACGTTTCTGCATTTAGAATCTTATTTTAGAATAGAGCAGCGTTATTTACTTTCATGGAATTCATTGGTTTAAGAATTATAAGTACTTAAATTGAAATTAGCTGAACGTAAACGAATCTTCGTACATCGTTAATTATTTTTTTACGAGGCAAGGTAAATTACCCCTCTCTACCTGATTTTAAATGTAAGTGAATCCATTCACAAGGACAGCTCCACCAGTGGAAGATATGTGCCGCTCCTTTTTGGCCTAAACGTACCCCAACCCTTCACTTTTCCAAACGAGGAGTTCAATAGAAATAGGAAATCCGATATGCCCTACTTTTCTTATATCTTTCCAAACAAGGTAATTACAATATCAGACAAAATCTGTTGTCTTGATCTTCGGAAATAGGTAATATTCATAAAACCTACATACTGCTGCTTCGATCTTTCCTCCTATAGTAATATTATGGTAATTTAGAAAAAGGAACAGTTCCTATTGACATCTTTGCCTCATGTAAGTTCACATTACGTAATATTTTGCTGGTTTATAGCAAATGTCTTATCCCAGATTTTATTTATGTATATTTAAACCCTAATATTTCTCTAGAAAAAAGTACCTCAATAAATTGAATCATGCATCCCAAATAAAAGATCCAAATATTTTTTTTTTCATAACAACAACCACTGTAGTAGCTCAGTAGCGCTCGTTTTATTCATAACACGAACATTATGATAGTTACTTGTATATAGCCTCAATAAATGATCGAAATAACCAATCATTGAAACTAATTACTTATATACAAATGGGGCCGCGTGATTAACTTCTTCAGGTAGTGCGATTCTCAAAATAATTGAAGCTATCTACTCATACCCCACCAATCAATTTAACAAAAATAACCTTGTTTGCGGTACATGGTGTCCACGCATTATTGCTATCATTAGGCACGTACTAAACACATCTCGATTTGTATAAAATTGTACCTAAGGCTGAATTACTGTCGACGAAGGTCGGTTGATGGCTAGCGACCTTAAATTGAGTGGTCCGACCCGCGCGCGCGACCATTTAGCTTGGTGCAACGCATGCAGTGCGTATCATACTTACTACTCTTAGCAGTGCGGTCCACGCGAAAATACAAACAACATCCCATAAAACCGCAATGAATGTGATTGGTTGAAGTACTACTACAAAAGTGATTTATGAGTGCTAATATAAGTAGTGTTGTGGTGGAAATCGCTTTGGATACCGGTAGCCGTGGAGTATATTATATGTACTTTAATACTCCTTATCAATAACTAATATAGATAAAAACGTAAGTAAAAAAAGTTAGTCCACTTTCAGTCACCATGCTTTTATAATATTTAGTACAGGTTTAGTTTATGATATTGTAAAGTAACGAGTATGGAATATAGAGTAAGCTTAGTACCTATAATATTTTCGACGAAAAATTGAGCTGTGAATCAGTATTTGTAAAACTTAAAAGATATTTTTAAAATGTTTCTCACCTATTTCACCCGCTTTAACTTTTAATATCGTGACCAAATGTAAATGCCCTCATCCTCGTCCGTCGATAATTCATCAAAATTTGTTCAGCTGTTCAAACTTAGCAGACAGCAATGACCACTACCTACCTACTTTCGGATTAATGATAATAGCACAGATTGCCGATTCATAAAATCACCTAGTCAATCAGTTAGTATGAATGGATTCATCATCAATTATTCATGATGATGGCAAACAGGTTCCAGTACCTTTAGTATATTACAACACCGGGTGTAGAGTCATTCACTTAAGGTTCGTTAGTAATCCTCAAAATGCGTGTCAGGAAATGGTGCACGAGTATTGTCTGGTTTTTACTGTGTAGGGCTAGGGAGGAGTCCGCAGAAAAGTATCTTATTCTTGTTTCCCCGGTGCTGATGGACGCGTAAGAAAACATTTTCCAGACACAAAAAAAAGTTCAACATTGTGGCGTTAATAGCATCGTAAATTATTACTAAAAGTAATCCTATGAATCTATCGGAATGTTAGTTTTACATTTGCCACATAACAATCTTTCAGATAAAGATTAATAATCCAATCATACCTAGTTATTAACTATTAATAATAAAACAATATGCATCAAGGGGGTAAAGCAGTGTATTGTGCCACTGGCAGCATATTGAATTCTGAGCAAAAAGAAGGAATCTCTAATTAGGTTGTTGGTAAAGTATGGTAAGAATCCTGAATGAAGCGAAGTATTCATGTCTGCCCAAGGCTAAAACACTTTTATCCCCGAGGAGCATATCTGCTCTTCTTTATCTACTGTGAGGTTTAATAAAAAAGAAATTTGAAATATAATTACAATTAAGTTAATTAAATTAAAAAAAATATGCTGTTACAAACGTTACTCCGCTTATGGAAACTTAATGTGATAAAAATTCAGATAGTGCAACTATTTTTCCATAAGGTACATTAAGAGTTTATAAACTTTAATATATTGATCTTTGGTTTTTTCGGGCAAAATCCCGTCAATAATGTTTTGAGCTTCCGTTTCTTTATCACTCTGATATCACTGAACATTTTTGTAAGTTTTATTTTATTAAATGACAACAATTTAACAATTCGCGGTGGCATAGTTATTTTTTAACTAAAGACGAAAACTAATTAAACGCGAAATGTGAAACTGTTTGTATAGATAGCAATAATAACTTTATGATTCTCCTAAAACTATTCCAATATTAATTCATCATTCCGAGTTTCTGACTGATATTTGTAATAACTTTTAGTTCGGAAAGTGTAAAGTAGGTTATAAAGAGGTTCTAATCCCTTATTTACAATTATAAATAAGTATAATTAGGTATTATATTCCACTCTATTTCTTTATAGTATAGAACAACTATTGGGAAAATAAAGTACTAATAAAGAACCTACTTGCAATAAAATTTAACGGTTGCGGGTTTGCATTGCTTGAAATCACACAAATGCAATGAAGAAATAAATAATAAACCAATTTTGGCAATATTATAGAATCTAAAGAAAAGTTTTACTAGAAAAAAATCCACGCGTCCCGTCCGCTGCCTGGTCCGCGTGGATTTTTTTTCTAGTAAAACTTTTCTTTAGATTTAAACATCTAGCAGTTAAATGCTTAAAAATAAATAAATCATAAATATTATAGAAATTTGCAAGTTGATTCGTTGCGAATAATTAAAGTTAGGTGGGCATGTCCTAAGTGTCTACGCAACTGAACGACATTAGAATATTCGAAATACTGGCGTACTCTTTGAACTGGAACTGAAACTTTAGATGAAGTATTGACTAAATCAGCGAGGGACAATTTTCTATGGACTTTTATGAAAACTGTCTTATCGACAATTAGCTGCAAATCAGAGCATAGGCTAAAATAGGCTTAAACAAAGCATAGCTTCCAGTCATTAGTGCAGATTAATAAAATCAGCCATCAATTAATATCCATAGATAATATTTAGCAGCAATGTGAAGTTTAGCAGGATGGAATGGGGAGATAGGGCCGTGACCCACCATGCGGGCCCAGTGCAGATTGGATAGTGCTAAAGACTACAATAAGTTCTTAACGTGACTTCCAGCAGCACGATGGAGTGTGCAATAGTGAATATATTGGTCACCCATCCAATGACCTGCCATTGCGAAAGTTGCTTTACTTCCACGATTGCAAACTGCGCCATATTGCAACTTCTCTTCATCTTACAGATGGCCAGAGCCCATAATAAGTCGTAAACCAGTAAGTACAACGATTACCATGGAGGAGTGGCTTCCACAGCGATTTTCATGGTGTCGCCATATCTGAATTCCCAGGTGCGCTCCTCTGTCTCATTAATCTTGAAAAATAACCGTTTTACATTGTCTCCGGTCTGTGTTTGAGGTATCTAGGTACGTACCTTTACTAGTTGGTAGACTATTGCTGGTATTTTATATGCGCATTGTTGTAGACCCAAAGTAGGGTCGACTGGGTTACATTACAATTAGTAATACATTTCAATGATTATTCGAAACACTTTAATCAATTCCAAAAACGTCTGATTTTGTTAGTGTCATTCATTGTTGCTGTATTCTTTTAAGTTATCACATGGCCTATCAACGCCACAGCGTCGTCTTGGAACTCTATGACTCTCTCTTTTTATTGCAATAAATCAGAGAGAAACAAAATGGCAACTCAATTTATATTTGTTAAATTTTCTATTTGTCACCTATTTGTTTATTAATTATTGGAGAAGTTCTCGAAAAATAATTTTATTTTAAACTGTCGATTTGTTTATGTTTATTCTTGTATGTAAAAGACATATTGTGTCCGTGCCATTTTATAATTAAAAGTTTTGTAAGCCAGAATCTGGCTTTGTTTTTTTCTCCAACTTACTTTGTGCCTTATTGCCTTCGGTATAGGATTCACATTAGCATTGTTTTTTTGTGGCCTAATATGTGACTGTCTTTACCTAACCATTCACCTTCTAATCGCTAGACCACATTTAGCATAGGCACCTTAACTGCGTGCGAAAATGAAAAACATGCCTTCGAGTCAACATTATTTTGTTCCGTTTACAAGTTCACTGCGCGGTCAGTATTGCGACAGTCGTTTGTTCGCAGATTCTCTCGTCTTGGCTCTAAAGCGTGTTAAAAAGTAATAATAATAAATAAATTAAATATTTCCAACACTCACACCAATTAGCCTAGCCCCAAAGTAAGCACTGTAAGGCTTGTGTTATGGTATATATGGTATATACTAGGGTAGCGGATAGAATACATATACTGTACATACTATATAAGTATGTTTATTTAGAAATACATATTAAACATCCATGACTGGATTACAAATGCTCGTATTCATCACACAAATCTGCCCCCACCGGGATTCGAACCCAGGACCTCTCGAGTTGGTGACACCATGAAACCCGGCTCATAAACCACTCGGCCATGGAGGTCGTCAATTTTTAAAAAGTAAAAGGTCAAAAATTCCAGCGTTAGATCTAACAAAATTGTACCTAAGTATAAATATAAAACTCAGCACAGTAACCGAAAAACACCTAAATATTATACATATCTACACCAATTTACATGGTGCATTTGTATCTCATATGCTCAAATTTTCTTTTATAACATGCTAAGATACTCTACTGACGCGGCGTGTAATGATTTGTGTCACCAATTTAGTAACTACAGTACGCTATAATAATGAATTGCCACAACTATTTAAATAACTCTATGCACTCTTCTCATCCTACTAATATTATAAATGTGAAAGTTTGTATGTTTATTACTCAATCACGCAAAAACTGGTAAAGGGATTTGGATGAAATTGACTCACAGATAAATTATAACTTGGAAAAAGATTTTCAAAAATCTAATGTCGCGAAGTCGCGGGAGGTCGCAAAACGACAACGACGACGAAAAGAAAAACCTTTAAAAAAAAGAGGAAAGTCCGCCGTTTTTTGCCTTGGGATATGAGTGAAATCTTATTAGTTTTCATGTACTTCTTAGTAAATCCTTTTATTTATAATCATCCCTATCATGGGAGTGCAGAAAAAAACTAGTAATTACACGTCACTAGCTAACTATGCAGTGCCATCCCAACTAAACGTTTATGCAAAACTTCATCTCAGTCGGTTGAGGATAACTGCTTTTAAACTTCGTTGCAAGATTTGACCCGAATATCCTTACATATACACACATTGCAATTTTAAAACAAGCTTTCTCATTTTTAAATACTAAATGGAAAATAAGGATCCAGCTAAAATATGAAGAAATTCAATTTAACCAGAGATTCTTAATATTCGTTAATTACAATTTCATATTATTTTTATTTTTATTGAATGCTATTTGTGGTTGTTATTAATTAGATTATTAGTTACTAATACGTTCAAGTTAATTTCAATTTTAAAGGGACATTTTGTTGTAAATTGCGATACCATATTAGCAGTGGTGGTGCTAGACCACATGTGGACGTCGGCGACATCAAGTTATAATCAAATGATGACAAAAATAATTACAAACATAGAAATTTAATTACAAAAATAGTGTTGTCAGACAGACGATTCTGGATACCCGTAAAGTACTACTCGCTTCCATCACGCACGTGTTCGAAAATAATAAAAGTCATTATCATCTGCTTAGCTTTTTCCCCGAATTGTTCGGGGTCGGCTACCTAAGCCAGGCCAGAAGAAACGAAAATAAATAGGTAACTTGTAAAAAAATTTTGCGAGGCCCCCTCAGGCGCGAGGCCGTCGGCCGTGGCCGACGTCGCCGACGCCTAGCGCCGCCACTGCATATCAGAGTTTATGGGTCTGTACTGTATCTATGTTTTAT